AGTTGTGAAGACCCCAGTACAGCAGGCCGCATAGCTCAGTCGGTTAGAGCTTCGTGCTAATAACGCGAAGGTCGACAGCTCGAGCTTTACTGTGGTCATTGCTTCCAGCGAGAGAAAGAATTGATTTTATTTTTATGACACGACGAGCGACAATTCAACTTCTGACGAAAAACTTTCTGGAAAATAAAACGCAGAAAGCCAGAGTTTCTTCATAACGAATTTTAGAAGTATTTTTTTTTGAAGAAGAAGAATACGTTTCGAAAAAATCAAAAAAAGCTCAGAGAAGTTACAAGTGCCTCATCAATAGGATAAAAAAGATGTAAAGTAGACAGTACATCAGGCCGCATAGCTCAGTCGGCTAAAGCATGGTGCTAATAATGCGCAGGTCGACAGTTTGAGCCTCTCTGTGGCCCATGCTTCCCGCGAGAGAAAGAATTGATTTTATTTTTATGACACGACGAAAAAAATTCAATTTCTGACGAAAAATGTTGTGGAAAAAACTCAGAAAAGCCAGAGTTTCTTCATAACGAATTTCAGAAGTATTTTGTTGAAGAAGATTACGTTTCGAAAAACCTCAAGTAAACAAACGCAGAGAGGTTACAAGTGTCTCATCAATAAGATCATAAAGTTGTGAAGACCCCAGTACAGCAGGCCGCATAGCTCAGTCGGTTAGAGCTTCGTGCTAATAACGCGAAGGTCGACAGCTCGAGCCTTACTGTGGTCATTGCTTCCAGCGAGAGAAAGAATTGATTTTATTTTTATGACACGACGAGCGACAATTCAACTTCTGACGAAAAACTTTCTGGAAAATAAAACGCAGAAAAGCCAGAGTTTCTTCATAACGAATTTTAGAAGTTTTTTTTTTGAAGAAGAATACGTTTCGAAAACATCAAAAAAAGCTCAGAGAAGTTACAAGTGCCTCATCAATAGGATAATAAAGTTGTAAAGTAGACAGTACATCAGGCCGCATAGCTCAGTCGGCTAAAGCATGGTGCTAATAATGCGAAGGTCGACAGTTTGAGCCTCTCTGTGGCCCATGCTTCCCGCGAGAGAAAGAATTGATTTTATTTTTATGACACGACGAAAAAAATTCAATTTCTGACGAAAAATGTTGTGGAAAAAACTCAGAAAAGCCAGAGTTTCTTCATAATGAATTTTAGAAGTATTTTTTTGAAGAAGAATACGTTTCGAAAAACCTCAAGTAAACAAACGCAGAGAGGTTACAAGTGTCTCATCAATAAGATCATAAAGTTGTGAAGACCCCAGTACAGCAGTCCGCATAGCTCAGTCGGTTAGTGCATCGTGCTAATAACGCGAGGGTCGACAGTTCGAGCCTGTCTGTGGCCAGTGCTTCCCGCGAAAGAAAGAATTGATTTTATTTTTATGACACGACGAGGGACAATTCAACTTCTGACTAAAAACTTTCTGGAAAATAAAACGCAGAAAAGCCTGAGTTTCTTCATAACGAATTTAAGAAGTCTTTTTTTTTTGAAGAAGAAGACATTTCGAAAAGCCTCAGAGAGGTTACAAGTGTCTCATCAATCAGATTATGAAGTAGTGAAGTCCCCAGTACAGAAGGACGCCTAGCTCAGTCGGTAAGAGCATCGTGCTACTAACGCGAGGGTCGACAGTTCGAGCCTGTCTGTGGCCAGTGCTTCCCGCGAAAGAAAGAATTGATTTTATTTTTATGACACGACGAGAGACAATTCAACTTCTGACTAAAAACTTACTGGAAAATAAAACGCAGAAAAGCCAGAGTTTCTTCATAACGAATTTTAGAAGTATTTTTTTTTGAAGAAGAAGACGTTTCGAAAAACCTCAAGTAAACAAACGCAGAGAGGTTACAAGTGTCTCATCAGAAAGATTTTGAAGTTGTGAAGTCCCAAGTAAAGCAGTCCGCATAGCTCAGGCGGTTAGAACATCTTGCTAATAAAGCGAGGGTCGAAAGTTCGAGCCTGTCTCTGGTCAATTCTCCGCGCGAGCCAGATGATATAGTCAATTTTTTATGACACGACGATTAAAAAAAATTCAACTTCTGACAAACAAATTTCTGGAAAAAAAAACGCAGAAAAGCAAGAATTTTTTCATAACGAATTTTTAGAAGTCTTTTTCTGAAGAACAATACGTTTCGAAAAACCTCAAGTAAATAAACGCAGAGAAGTTACAAGTGTCTCATCAATAAGATCATAAAGTTGTGAAGTCCCCAGTCCAGCAGGCCGCATAGCTCAGTCGGTTAGAGCATCTTGCTAATAACGCGAGGGTCGACAGTTCGAGTCTGTCTGTGGTCAATGCTTCTCGCGAGCCAAAGGAATGAGTCTATTCTTTATGTCACGACGATTAAAAACTTCTGAAGAAAGATTTTCTATAAAAAAAAACGCAGAAAAGCCAGAGTTTCTTCATAACGAATTTTAGAAGTCTTCTTTTTGAAGAAAACTTTTCGAAAAATATCAAGTAAACAAACGCAGAGAGGTTACAAGTGTCTCATCAATAAGATTATGAAGTTGTGAAGTCCACATAGCTCTGTCGGTTAGAGCATCGTGCTAATAGCGCGAGGGTCGACTGTTCGATCCTTTCTGTGGGCAATGCTTCCCGCGAGAGAAAGAAATGATTATCTTTTTATGACACGACAAAAAAATTCAACTTCTGACAAACAATTTATCTGGAAAAAACGCAGAAAAGCCAGTAATTCTTCATAACAAAATTTAGAAGTCTTTTTTTTGAAGAAGAAGACGATTCGAAAAACCTCAAGTAAATAAACTCAGAGAAGTTACAAGTGTATCAACAGAATGATAAAGTTGTGAAGTCCCCAGTACAGCAGGCCGCATAGCTCAGTCGGTTAGAGCATCGTGCTAATAACGCGAGGGTCGACAGTTCGAGCCTGTCTGTGGTTAATGCTTCTCGCGAGCCAAAGAAATGCGTCTATTCTTTATGTCACGACGATTTAAAAAATTCAACTTCTGAAGAAAGATTTTATGGAAAAAAACGCAGAAAAGCAGGAGTTTCTTCTTAACGAATTTTAGAAGTCTTCTTCTTGAAGAAGACGTTTCGAAAAACATCAAAAAAAACTCAGAGAAGTTACAAGTGTCTCTTTAATAAGATCATAGAGTTGCGAAGTCCCCAGTAGAGCAGGCCGCATAGCTCAGTCGGTTAGAGCATCGTGCTAATAACGCGAGGGTCGACAGTTCGAGCCTGTCTGTGGCCAGTGCTTCGCGCGAGAGAAAGAATTGATTTTATTTTTATGACACGACGAGAGACAATTCAACTTCTGACGAAAAACTTTTGGGAAATAAAACGCAGAAAAGCCAGAGTTTCTTCATAACGAATTTTAGAAGTATTTTTTTTTGAAGAAGAAAACGTTTCGAAAAACCTCAAGTAAACAAACGCAGAGAGGTTACAAGTGTCTCGTCAATAAGATCATAAAGTTGTGAAGACCCTATTACATCAGGCCGCATAGCTCAGTCGGTTAGAGCATCATGCTAATAACGCGAGGGTCGACAGGTCGAGCTTGTCTGTGGTCAATTCTTCCAGCGAGTCAGATGATATAGTCTATTCTTTAAGACACGACGATTTAAAAAAAAATCAACTTCTGACGAAAAACTTTCCGGAAAATAAAACGCAAAAAGCCTGAGTTTTTTTTAAGAAGAACACGTTTGGAAAAACCTCAAGTAAACAAACGCAGAGAAGTTACAAGTGTCTCATCAATAAGATAATAGAGTTGTGAAGTCCCAAGTATAGCAGGCCGCATAGCTCAGTCGGTTAGAGCATCGTGCTAATAACGCGAGGGTCGACAGTTCGAGCCTGTGTGGTCAATGCTTCACGCGAGCCAAAGAAATGAGTCTATTCTTTATGTCACGACGATTTAAAAAGTTCAACTTGAAGAAAGATTTTCTGGTAAAAAAAAGGCAGAAAAGCCAGAGTTTCTTCATAACGAATTTTAGAAGCATGTTATTTGAAGAAGAATACGTTTCGAAAAACCTCAAGTAAACAAACGCAGAGAGGTAACAAGTGTCTCATCAATAAGATCATAAAGTTGTGTAGACCCCAGTACAGCAGGCCGCATAGCACAGACGGTTAGAGCATCGTGCTAATAACGCGAGGGTCGACAGTTCGAGCCTGTCTGTGGTCAATGCTTCTCGCGAGCCAAAGAAATGAGTCTATTCTTTATGTCACGACGATTTAAAAGTTCAACTTGAAGAAAGATTTTCTAGTAAAAAAAAAGGCAGAAAAGCCAGAGTTTCGTCATAACAAATTTTAGAAGTATTTTATTTGAAGAAGAATACGTTTCGAAAAACCTCAAGTAAACAAACGCAGAGAGGTTACAAGTGTCTCATCAGTAAGATCATAAAGTTGTGTAGACCCAAGTACATCAGGCCGCATAGCTCAGTCTGTTAGATCATCGTGCTAATAACGCGAGGGTCGACAGTTCGAGCCTGTCTGTGGCCAGTGCTTCCCGCTAGAGAAAGAATTGACTTTATTTTTATGACACGACGAGAGACAATGCAACTTCTGGCGAAAAAATTTTTGGAAAATAAAACGCAGAAAAGCCAGAGTTTCGTCATAACGAATTTTAGAAGTATTTTATTTGAAGAAGAATACGTTTCGAAAAACCTCAAGCAAACAAACGCAGAGAGGTTACAAGTGTCTCATCATTAAGATCATAAAGTTGTGTAAACCCCAGTACAGCAGGCCGAATAGCTCAGTCGGTTAGAGCATCGTGCTAATAACGCGAGGGTCGACAGTTCGAGCCTGTCTGTGGTCAATGCTTCTCGCGAGCCAAAGAAATGAGTCTGTTCTTTATGTCACGACGATTTAAAAAGTTCAACTTCTGAAAAAAGATTTTCTGGGAAAAAAAACGCAGAAAAGCCAGAGCTTCTTCATAACGAGTTTTCGAACTCTTTTTTTGAAGAAGAGGTTTCGAAAAACCTCGAATAAATAAACTCAGAGAAGATATAAGTTTCTCATCCATAGGATGATAAAGTTGTGAAGGCTCGATTTCAACAGGCCACATAGCTCAGTCGGTTAAAGCATCGTGCTAATAACATGAGGGTCGACAGTTCGAGACTGTCTGTGGCCACTTCGTCCCGCGCGCAAAATGAATTAGTCTATTCTTTATGACACGATGATTATAAAAACATTCAACTTCGAAAGAGATTTTCTAAAAAAAACGCAGAAAAGCAGGAGTTTCTTCATAACGAATTTTAGAAGTCTTCGTCTTGAAGAATACGTTTCGAAAAACATTAAGAAAAACAGAATAGTTACAAGTGTCTCATCATCAGTAACAAACATAATAGAGTGGTGAAGTCCCGAGTACAGCAGTCCGCATAGCTCAGTCGGTTAGAGCATCGTGCTAAAAACGCGAGTGTCGACAGTTCGAGCCTGTCTGTGGCCAGTGCTTCCCGCGAGAGAAAGAAGTGATTTTATTTTTATGACACGACAAGAGACAACTCAACTTCTGACGAAAAACTTTCTGGAAAATAAAACGCAGAAAAGCCAGAGTTTCTTCATAACGAATTTTAGAAGTCTTTTTCTGAAGAAGAATACGTTTCGAAAAACCTCAAGTAAATAAACGCAGAGAAGTTACAAGTGTCTCATCAATAAAACCATAAAGTTGTGAAGTCCCCCACTACATCAGGCCGCATAGCTCATTCGGTTAGAGCATCGTGCTAATAACGCGAGGGTCGACAGGTCGAGCCTGTCTGTGGTCAATTCTTCCAGCGAGCCAGATGATATAGTCTATTCTTTAAGACACGACGATTTAAAAAAAATTCAACTTCTGACCAAAAAATTTCTGGAAAAAAACGCAGAAAAGCCAGAGTTTCTTCATAACGAATTTTAGAAGTCTTTTTTTTTGGAGAAGAAGAAGACGGTTCGAAAAACCTCAAGTAAATAAACTCAGAGAAGTTACAAGTGTCTCGTCAACAGAATGATGAAGTTGTGAAGTCCCCAGTATAGCAGGCCGCATAGCTCAGTGGGTTAGAGCATCGTGCTAATAACGCGAGGTCGGCAGTTCGAGCCTGTCTGTGGGCCTTGCTTCCCGCGAGAGAAAGGATTGATGCTATTTTTATGACACGACGAAAAAATCCAACTTCTGACGAAAAGTTTACTGGAAAAAAAAACAGAAAAACCAGAGTTTTGTCATAGCGAATTTCAGAAGTTTTTTTTTTAAAGCAGAATACGTTTGGAAAAGCCTCAAGTAAATAAACGCAGAGAAGTTACAAGTGTCTTATCAATAAGATCAAAAAATGTGAAGTCCCTAGTACATCAGGCCGCATAGCTCAGTCGGTTAGAGCATCGTGCTAATAACGCGAGGGTCGAGAGTTCGAGCCTGACTGTGGTCAATGCTTCTCGCGAGCCAAAGGAATGATTCTATTCTTTATGTCACGACGAATTAAAAAATTCAACTTCTGAGGAAAGATTTTCTGGAAAAAAACGCAGAAAAGCAGGAGTTTCTTCATAACGAGTTTTAGAAGTCTTCTTCTTGAAGAAGACGTTTCGAAAAACATCAAAAAAAAAGTCAGAGGAGTTACAAGTGTCTCTTTAATAAGATCATAGAGTTGTGAAGTCCCCAGTACAGCAGGCCGCATAGCTCAGTCGGTTAGAGCATCGTGCTAATAACGCAAGGGTCGACAGTTCGAGCCTGTCTGTGGTTAATGCTTCTCGCGAGCCAAAGAAATGAGTCTATTCTCTATGTCACGACGATTTAAAAAGTTCAACTTCTGAAGAAAGATTTTCTGGGAAAAAAAACGCAGAAAAGCCAGAGTTTCTTCATAACGAGGTTTCGAAAAACCTCGAATAAATAAACTCAGAGAAGTTATAAGTTTCTCATTCATAGGATCATGAAGTTGTGAAGTCTCGATTGCAACAGGCCACATAGCTCAGTCGGTTAAAGCATCGTGCTAATAACATGAGGGTCGACAGTTCGAGACTGTCTGTGGTCACTGCGTCCCGCGAGCCAAATGAAGTAGTCTATTCTTTATGACACGATAATTATAAAAAAAATCAACTTCAAAAGAGATTTTCCGGAATAAAAACGCAGAAAAGCAGGAGTTTCTTCATAATGAATTTTAGAAGTCTTCGTCTTGAAGAAGACGTTTCGAAAAACATAAAAAAAACAGAGAAGTTACAAGTGTCTCTTTAATAAGATCATAGAGTTGTGAAGTCCCAAGTACAGCAGGCCCCATAGCTCAGTGGGTTAGAGCATCGTGCTAATAACGCGAGGGTCGACAGTTCGAGCCTGTCTGTGGCCATTGCTTCCCGCGAGAGAAAGAATTGATTTTTTTTTATGACACGACGAGAGACAATTCAACTTCTGACGAAAACTTACTGGAAAAAAAGCAGAAAAACCAGAGTTTCGTCATAGCGAATTTTAGAAGTATTTTTTTTGAAAGCAGAAAACGTTTGGAAAAACCTCAAGTAAATAAACGTAGCGAAGTTACAAGTGTCTTATCAATAAGATCAAAAAAATGTGAATTCCCAAGTACATCAGGCCGCATAGCTCAGTCGGTTAGAGCATCGTGCTAATAACGCGAGGGTCGACAGTTCGAGCCTGTCTGTGGCCAGTGCTTCCCGCGAAAGAAAGAATTGATTTTATTTTTATGACACGACGAGAGACAATTCAACTTCTGACGAAAAACTTTTTCGAAAATAAAACGCAGAAAAGCCAGAGTTTCTTCATAACGAATTTTAGAAGTATTTTATTTGAAGAAGAATACGTTTCGAAAAACTTCAAGTAAACAAACGCAGAGAGGTTACAAGTGTCTCATCAAAAAGATCATAATGTTGTGTAGACCCCAGTACAGCAGGCCGCATAGCTCAGTCGGTTAGAGCATCGTGCTAATAACGCGAGGGTCGACAGTTCGAGCCTGTCTGTGGTCAATTCTTCCAGCGAGCCAGATGATAAAGTCTATTCTTTATGACACGACGATTAAAAAAAATTCAACTTCTGACGAAAAAATTTCTGGAAAAAACGCAGAAAAGCCAGAGTTTCTTCATAACGAATTTTAGAAGTCTTTTTCTGTAGAAGAATACGTTTCGAAAAACCTCAAGTAAATAAACGCAGAGAAGTAACAAGTGTCTCATCAATAAGACCATAAAGTTGTGAAGTCCCCATTACAGCAGGCCGCATAGCTCAGTCGGTTGGAGCATCGTGCTAATAACGCGAGGGTCGACAGTTCGAGCCTGTCTGTGGTCAATGCTTCCCGCGAGCCAGATGATATAGTCTGATCTTTATGACACGACGATTTTTAAAAATTCAACTTCTGACAAAAAAACTTCTGGAAAAAAAAACGCAGAAAAGCCAGAGTTTCTTCATAACCAATTATTGAAGTCTTTTTTTTTTAATGTGAAGACGTTTCAAAAAACCTCAAGTAAAAAAACGCAGAGAAGTTACAAGTGTCTAATCAAAAAGATAATAAAGTTGTGAAGTCCACAGTACATCAAGCCGCATAGCTCAGTCGGTTAGAGCATCAGGCTAATAACGCGAAGGTCGACAGTTCGAGACTGTCTGTGGTCAAAGTTTCCCTCGAGCCAGATGAAATAGTCTATTCTTTATGACACGACGATAAAAAAAATCAACTTATGACGAAAAACTTTCCGGAAAATGAAACGCAAAAAGCCAGAGTTTCTTCATAACGAATTTTAGAAGTCTTTTTTTTAAGAACAACACGTTTGGAAAAACCTCAACTAAACAAACGCAGAGAAGTTACAAGTGTCTCATCAATAAGATCAAAAAGTTGTGAAGTCCTCAGTACAGTAGGCCGCATAGCTCAGTCGGTTAGAGCATCGTGCTAATAACGCGAGTGTCGACAGTTCGAGCCTGTCTGTGGTCAATGCTTCCCGCGAGCCAGATGAAATAGTCTATTCTTTATGACACGACGATTTAAAAAAATTCAACTTCTGACGAAAAAACTTCTGGAAAAAAACGCAGAAAAGCCAGAGTTTCTTCATAACGAATTATTGAAGTCTTTTTTTAAATGTGAAGACGTTTCAAAAAACCTCAAGTAAAAAAACGCAGAGAAGTTACAAGTGTCTAATCAAAAAGATTAAAAAAAGTTGTGAAGTCCACAGTACATCAAGCCGCATAGCTCAGTCGGTTAGAGCATCAGGCTAATAACGCGAAGGTCGACAGTTCGAGACTGTCTGTGGTCAAGGTTCCCTCGAGCCAGATGAAATAGTCTATTCTTTATGACACGACGATTAAAAAACTCAACTTCTGACGAAAAACTTTCCAGAAAATGAAACGCAAAAAGCCAGAGTTTCTTCATAACGAATTTTAGAAGTCTTTTTTAAAAGAAAAACACGTTTGGAAAAACCTCAACTAAACAAACGCAGAGAAGTTACAAGTGTCTCATCAATAAGATCAAAAAGTTGTGAAGTCCTCAGTACAGTAGGCCGCATAGCTCAGTCGGTTAGAGCATCGTGCTAATACCGCGAGTGTCGACAGTTCGAGCCTGTCTGTGGTCAATGCTTCCCGCGAGCCAGATAAAATAGTCTATTCTTTATGACACGACGCTTTAAAAAAATTCAACTTCTGACAAAAAAACTTCTGGAAAAAAACGCAGAAAAGCCAGAGTTTCTTCATAACGAATTTTAGAAGTCTCTTTTTAGGAAGAAGACGTTTCGAAAAACCTCAAGTAAATAAACGCAGAGAAGTTACAAGTGTCTCATCAATAAGACCATAAAGTTGTGAAGTCCCCATTACAGCAGGCCGCATAGCTCAGTCGTTTAGAGCATCGTGCTAATAACGCGAGGGTCGACACGTCGAGCCTGTCTGTGGTCAATGCTTCTCGCGAGCCAGATGATATAGTCTGATCTTTATGACACGACGATTTTTAAAAATTCAACTTCTGACAAAAAAACTTCTGGAAAAAAAAACGCAGAAAAGCCAGAGTTTCTTCATAACCAATTATTGAAGTCTTTTTTTTTTAATGTGAAGACGTTTCAAAAAACCTCAAGTAAAAAAACGCAGAGAAGTTACAAGTGTCTAATCAAAAAGATAATAAAGTTGTGAAGTCCACAGTACATCAAGCCGCATAGCTCAGTCGGTTAGAGCATCAGGCTAATAACGCGAAGGTCGACAGTTCGAGACTGTCTGTGGTCAAAGTTTCCCTCGAGCCAGATGAAATAGTCTATTCTTTATGACACGACGATAAAAAAAATCAACTTATGACGAAAAACTTTCCGGAAAATGAAACGCAAAAAGCCAGAGTTTCTTCATAACGAATTTTAGAAGTCTTTTTTTTAAGAACAACACGTTTGGAAAAACCTCAACTAAACAAACGCAGAGAAGTTACAAGTGTCTCATCAATAAGATCAAAAAGTTGTGAAGTCCTCAGTACAGTAGGCCGCATAGCTCAGTCGGTTAGAGCATCGTGCTAATAACGCGAGTGTCGACAGTTCGAGCCTGTCTGTGGTCAATGCTTCCCGCGAGCCAGATGAAATAGTCTATTCTTTATGACACGACGATTTAAAAAAATTCAACTTCTGACGAAAAAACTTCTGGAAAAAAACGCAGAAAAGCCAGAGTTTCTTCATAACGAATTATTGAAGTCTTTTTTTAAATGTGAAGACGTTTCAAAAAACCTCAAGTAAAAAAACGCAGAGAAGTTACAAGTGTCTAATCAAAAAGATTAAAAAAAGTTGTGAAGTCCACAGTACATCAAGCCGCATAGCTCAGTCGGTTAGAGCATCAGGCTAATAACGCGAAGGTCGACAGTTCGAGACTGTCTGTGGTCAAGGTTCCCTCGAGCCAGATGAAATAGTCTATTCTTTATGACACGACGATTAAAAAACTCAACTTCTGACGAAAAACTTTCCGGAAAATGAAACGCAAAAAGCCAGAGTTTCTTCATAACGAATTTTAGAAGTCTTTTTTAAAAGAAAAACACGTTTGGAAAAACCTCAACTAAACAAACGCAGAGAAGTTACAAGTGTCTCATCAATAAGATCAAAAAGTTGTGAAGTCCTCAGTACAGTAGGCCGCATAGCTCAGTCGGTTAGAGCATCGTGCTAATACCGCGAGTGTCGACAGTTCGAGCCTGTCTGTGGTCAATGCTTCCCGCGAGCCAGATAAAATAGTCTATTCTTTATGACACGACGCTTTAAAAAAATTCAACTTCTGACAAAAAAACTTCTGGAAAAAAACGCAGAAAAGCCAGAGTTTCTTCATAACGAATTTTAGAAGTCTCTTTTTAGGAAGAAGACGTTTCGAAAAACCTCAAGTAAATAAACGCAGAGAAGTTACAAGTGTCTCATCAATAAGACCATAAAGTTGTGAAGTCCCCATTACAGCAGGCCGCATAGCTCAGTCGTTTAGAGCATCGTGCTAATAACGCGAGGGTCGACACTTCGAGCCTGTCTGTGGTCAATGCTTCTCGCGAGCCAGATGATATAGTCTATTCTTTATGACACGACGATTTAAAAAATCAACTTCTGACGAAAAACTTTCCGGAAAATGAAACGCAGAAAAGCCAGAGTTTCTTCATAACGAATTATTGAAGTCTTTTTTTTTTTAATGTGAAGACGTTTCAAAAAACCTCAAGTAAAAAAACGCAGAGAAGTTACAAGTGTCTAATCAAAAAGATAAAAAAGTTGTGAAGTCCACAGTACATCAAGCCGCATAGCTCAGTCGGTTAGAGCATCAGACTAATAACGCGAAGGTCGACAGTTCGAGACTGTCTGTGGTCAAGGTTCCCTCGAGCCAGATGAAATAGTCTATTCTTTATGACACGACGATTAAAAAAATCAACTTCTGACGAAAAACTTTCCGGAAAATGAAACGCAAAAAGCCAGAGTTTCTTCATAACGAATTTTAGAAGTCTTTTTTTTTAAAGAAAAACAGGTTTGGAAAAACCTCAACTAAACAAACGCAGAGAAGTTACAAGTGTCTCATCAATAAGATCAAAAAGTTGTGAAGTCCTCAGAACAGTAGGCCGCATAGCTCAGTCGGTTAGAGCATCGTGCTAATACCGCGAGTGTCGACATTTCGAGCCTGTCTGTGGTCAATGCTTCCCGCGAGCCAGATAAAATGGTCTATTCTTTATGACACGACGCTTTAAAAAAATTCAACTTCTGACAAAAAAACTTCTGGAAAAAAACGCAGAAAAGCCAGAGTTTCTTCATAACGAATTTTAGAAGTATTTTTCTGTAGAAGAATACGTTTCGAAAAACCTCAAGTAAATAAACGCAGAGAAGTTACAAGTGTCTCATCAATAAGACCATAAAGTTGTGAAGTCCCCATTACAGCAGTCCGCATAGCTCAGTTGGTTAGAGCATCGTGCTAATACCGCGAGTGTCGACATTTCGAGCCTGTCTGTGTTCAATGCTTCCCGCGAGCCAGATGATAAAGTCTATTCTTTATGACACAACGATTAAAAAAAAATTCAAATTCAGACGAAAAAATTTCTGGAAAAAAACGCAGAAAAGCCAGAGTTTCTTCATAACCAATTATTGAAGTCTTTTTTTTTTAAATGTGGAGACGTTTCAAAAAACCTCAAGTAAAAAAACGCAGAGAAGTTACAAGTGTCTAATCAAAAAGATAATAAAGTTGTGAAGTCCACAGTACATCAAGCCGCATAGCTCAGTCGGTTAGAGCATCAGGCTAATAACGCGAAGGTCGACAGTTCGAGACTGTCTGTGGTCAAAGTTTCCCTCGAGCCAGATGAAATAGTCTATTCTTTATGACACGACGATTAAAAAAATCAACTTTTGACGAAAAACTTTCCGGAAAATGAAACGCGAAAAGCCAGAGTTTCTTCATAACGAATTTTAGAAGTCTTTTTTTTTAAGAACAACACGTTTGGAAAAACCTCAACTAAACAAACGCAGAGAAGTTACAAGTGTCTCATCAATAAGATCAAAAAGTTGTGAAGTCCTCAGTACATTAGGCCGCATAGCTCAGTCGGTTAGAGCATCGTGCTAATAACGCGAGTGTCGACAGTTCGAGCCTGTCTGTGGTCAATGCTTCCCGCGAGCCAGGTGATATAGTCTATTCTTTATGACACGACGATTTAAAAAAATTCAACTTCTGACGAAAAAACTTCTGGAAAAAAAACGCAGAAAAGCCAGAGTTTCTTCATAACGAATTATTGAAGTCTTTTTTTTTAAATGTGAAGACGTTTCAAAAAACCTCAAGTAAAAAAACGCAGAGAAGTTACAAGTGTCTAATCAAAAAGATAAAAAAAAGTTGTGAAGTCCACAGTACATCAAGCCGCATAGCTCAGTCGGTTAGAGCATCAGGCTAATAATGCGAAGGTCGACAGTTCGAGACTGTCTGTGGTCAAGGTTCCCTCGAGCCAGATGAAATAGTCTATTCTTTATGACACGACGATTAAAAAACTCAACTTCTGACGAAAAACTTTCCGGAAAATGAAACGCAAAAAGCCAGAGTTTCTTCATAACGAATTTTAGAAGTCTTTTTTAAAGAAAAACACGTTTGGAAAAACCTCAACTAAACAAACGCAGAGAAGTTACAAGTGTCTCATCAATAAGATCAAAAAGTTGTGAAGTCCTCAGTACAGTAGGCCGCATAGCTCAGTCGGTTAGAGCATCGTGCTAATACCGCGAGTGTCGACAGTTCGAGCCTGTCTGTGGTCAATGCTTCCCGCGAGCCAGATAAAATAGTCTATTCTTTATGACACGACGCTTTAAAAAAATTCAACTTCTGACAAAAAAACTTCTGGAAAAAAACGCAGAAAAGCCAGAGTTTCTTCATAACGATTTTTAGAAGTATTTTTCTGTAGAACAATACGTTTCGAAAAACCTCAAGTAAATAAACGCAGAGAAGTTACAAGTGTCTCATCAATAAGACCATAAAGTTGTGAAGTCCCCATTACAGCAGGCCGCATAGCTCAGTCGGTTAGAGCATCGTGCTAATAACGCGAGGGTCGACAGTTCGAGCCTGTCTGTGTTCAATGCTTCCCGCGAGCCAGATGATAAAGTCTATTCTTTATGACACGACGATTAAAAAAAATTCAACTTCTGACGAAAAAATTTCTGGAAAAAAACGCAGAAAAGCCAAAGTTTCTTCATAACGAATTTTAGAAGTCTTTTTCTGTAGAAGAATACGTTTCGAAAAACCTCAAGTAAATAAACGCAGAGAAGTTACAAGTGTCTCATCAATAAGACGATAAAGTTGTGAAGGCCCCATTACAGCAGGCCGCATAGCTCAGTCGGTTAGAGCATCGTGCAAATAACGCGAGGGTCGACACTTCGAGCCTGTCTGTGGTCAATGCTTCCCGCGAGCCAGATGATATAGTCTATTCTTTATGACACGACGATTTAAAAAATCAACTTCTGACGAAAAACTTTCCGGAAAATGAAACGCAGAAAAGCCAGAGTTTCTTCATAACGAATTATTGAAGTCTTTTTTTTTTAAAATGTGAAGACGTTTCAAAAAACCTCAAGTAAAAAAACGCAGAGAAGTTACAAGTGTCTAATCAAAAAGATAAAAAAGTTGTGAAACC